CAGGTAACATTCAGAAATCACGACTGATAGTAAATGTATTTTTTTAATGATCAAATCTGTTCCATTCCCATAATCACTACATTTTTTTATGATCTCACACATAACATTCAGAAATCATCACTGATAGGAAATGGTAAAAAATGATTAAATCATCTGTTACATTCCCTGAATCACTGCACTTTTTTATAATCTCACAGAAACATTCAGAAATCATGACTGATAGTAAGAGATAAAAGATGATCAAATCTGTTACATTCCTGTAATTGCTGTGTTTTTTTTATAATCTCACAGATGACGTTCAGAAATCGTGACTGATAATAAATGGGTTTTTAAAAAAAAATAATGTTTAAATCTGTTCCATTCCCATAATCACTACATTTTTTCATCATTTCACAGGTAACATTCAGAAATCACGACTGATAGTAGATGTATTTTTTTTTAAATGATAAAATCTGTTACATTCCCATAATCACAGCATTTTTTTTATGATCTCACAGAAACATTCAGAAATCATCACTGATAGGAAATGGTAAAAATTATTAAATCTGTTACATTCCCCTAATCACTGCTTTTATTTTCTGTAATCTCACAGATACCACTCAGAAATCATGACTGATAGTAAATGGTTTCTTTAAAAAAAGATGAAATCTTTTACATTTCTGTAATCCTTGTGTTTTTTAAGACTACCTCCATATATGTTTCATCTATAAACACTAAACACATTTTGCAGTAGTTTAAAAACAATTCTACTGAGACTTGCTGCAGTTTTTAACACAAATGTAGATACCTAATTTAGTGTCATCTCTGTGTCATGTTGATGCTGCTAGAAGAGCCTCCAGCACTTTTCTAAAAAGGCACCTACTTGGGTTTAAAATGAGTATATTTGAAGTCATTAGGAAAGGAAATTTCCAGCACTAATTCTGCCCTACCACAGGTTTTAACAGAAAGAACAAACCAAAGAACAAAAGGAAACCCGACAACTGTGTTTGATGACTCCTTGTGCAGTATTTTTGTTACCATGAAATAAAACACCAGACACCTTGAAGTTGCTCTCCTGTGTTAATTTCTTCTGAGCTACTTTTTAAATTGATCTCCCAGTAGTTGGTCTCTTCCCACCCTTGTTATTAAACTAACAAAAGCAGTTTATAGCACCACACCATAAGCAAAGTAGTAAAATAAAAACTTTCAAGCATTTGCTTTAGCCTGTTGGACACATTTACCTAAAAATCACATTCATGTTCTATTAAATAAAATTCCGTACATACCATTTTATTTCAATATATATAGAAGCAAATGTAATATTCAAATGCCTTGTTTCAGTATTGTTGGTCTATTTATCTGATGGCAATATTCCTACACAGCTTACATGACTCTAACCTGAATAATGGTAAAGCTCCCAGGAAGCTGATTTGCTTCAGAACAGATGATAACACTCCTGTAGGTGCAGAAAAAAAAATCACATCCAAACCCTTCATATAAACTTTTCAAGAAATATTGCAATCCTCAGCAAAATCAAGCAAGTTAACACATTTTGATAAAATTTAAAACTTCAGGGCCCAAGGGCGTATTTCTCAAACAAGGAGGTTCACCTGCAAAGGAGGAATTCCACGAAATCCAGTTGGAGATTTCTGACTGGTTCATTCACTCTTTCCAGTTGTTCTTTTCATGTTTAATGGTATTTATTTATTTGGACCTTTTCCTTGACTGAACTGTATATAACTCATGAATACAAAGAGACCAGTGTTTGACAGTGAAGGCAGCTGCTATCCTTGCCTTTACACCTATGATCTCCCCTGTGTGCCATTGCCTCTGGAGAAGGAAAAGATGAGCCAGAAGGGACAGGGAAGCAGTTCCTGAATGGCTCAGGCTCAGTTCACTTTGGTAACTTATATCTACAGCCTGATAATTTACAAAAATTAACACTCTATGCACCAGCAGTGGATAAGAACAGCAGAAGCAGGTACACATAAATTAGGACAGGAAATACCTGTGGGACAGAGAAATCTGTGCTGAAGGACTGAAATGAGAGTTACCTGGGCTCTTCCAGAGGTTCTGCTGACAAAGGCAAAGTGTTCCTGGCAACAGTGATTGATCACTTCTGCTCTCCTTTCTAGGAAGGTGAAAATCTGTTTCTTTTATGTGTCCAGAGTATTTTGATTTTAAATGTTTCACAAAAGGTTACATCTTCCAGTCTGAGAGCACAATGGTCCTTGATCTTATTTGGTGTCTGCAAAGGATTTCATTTTACCTAAAAGCAATATAAGAGCCACCACAGATGAATTTTAGAAAAGGTCATTCCTTATTTACATATCTATCTTTTTTATATCCTGTACAAAAATTATGTCAGAATGAGATATGCCAGGAGGGAAAAAAATTGTACAAATAATTCCCTGATCTGAATGTGGATCAAACACTGGCTGCATTTGGCAGAAGTGCACATCTGATTGTTACTGCAGCCAGATTCAGGAAATAAAGGGCAGAATGTGGCACAGATTCCTCTGCTCTGATCATGCACTGAAACCAGCTGATATTTTGAGGTTCTGAGGTTACAACATGTGGCTCTTCTAAAGCACAGCCTGCAACCTTGAGGGGTTTGTTTTGTTTTCCAACTGGAATCCGACATGCATGGCATGTAAACATTTGGAAGTCATATTGATCATCATGCCTTACATATAATTGCTTTAACTTTTATAGCATGCAGTCATTAAACTGACTTCCATAATAATAGAGCACTTAACAGAACCCTTGCCCACATGTGACCCAATAAAGAGGAATAAGTGTGGTGTCTAACTCTACAAAGAGTGTTTACTGGAGTGTGGATGGATACACACCCCTTCTAAATCAGTGGTGATGCTTCCAAAGGAAGGGCTGGAGAGGAAGCAGGTCAGCCTGTGATCTGGGAACAGATACACACACACATAAGGACAAACTATTTCTGGCACACTCAACATTCTCTGAACAGCAGGGAGAGATCTGATATGTAGAACAGTAGGCCCCAGCCAATTAGTCTGTGGCAGATAAGAACCTCTCCTTAATTTGTGCTGTTGGGTTTATATGTGGTTGTTCCTCTCTGACTTCACTAAAACCCAGTTTTTATCAGCTGGGATGCTGGCATTCTTTCCAGGTGCAGGAAGGGGTTTGGAAGGAATGAAGTATGATCTGGGGGCCTTGCTTCTGTCATAAGGGGAGCAATGCTTTTGTAGTTCTACTCCTCAAAAAAAATCTGTGAACAAGGGAACTAGCTCCTTTATTATCCACACAAGTGCACCCTTTCAAAGCATCAAGTAACATCCATTAATATCTGACAGCAGCAAGATTCAAGAAATCAAAGACTTGGAAATCTGCCTTGCCAGAGTGGTGCAGAAAAAGTTCCTATAAAAATAGCCAAGAAAAGTTAAAAAAAAACCCTACATCATGAATATCTTGCATTGCTGCTTACATCTGTGCATTGCTACATTCCCAAAGTTAAGAAAAGTAAAGTTCTTCTAAGCCAACATCCCCAAGACACATAAAGAACTGTGGGGCATGTTGTTGAGATGGCAAATTCACTCCACACGTTAGAGAAACTTCTAAATTTTAAACTGGTACTTGCATTATTCCACTACATCAGCAGAAGCAGCACCTCACACTTTTCTCAGTAAGAATTTAACAGCATGAATCTAAATTTTCATTTGATGGAAAAAACTCCAAAAAACATTTACAGTTCTTTTTGGTAGAGAAAGAATTTTTTGAGGCCTCACAGGAGGGTTTTTTTTCTTTCTCCTTGTTGTTGTTAACTTGATTTATTTTTACATATCCTTAGAAGCTGCAGTCAAACTTCACACAAAAAGTGTTTCCAACAAAAGAGGCTCATGCTTCTGGATAGAAAACAAGTAAAACTCAGATTCAAATTCCTCCTTTACTTCCGTGACCCGGGGCAGCTCCTGCTGCCTTTAAAGTATGCAGTACCTCTCCTGTCCCTGGTGATTGTTATTAATACAGTTTAGGGAAAGTGGTGATAAAGATCAATTCCTTACCCAGAAGAGAAACATTAACTGCTTCTTTCATGTCTTCCATGGCGAGTGAGCAGCTACAGTTTCAAATGATCCCCAGATGTTTAGGACTTCTGATGCTCAAAAGCTGGGTAGGTTTTCTCCGGAGCCAGGGTGGGGATTTCTGGTTCTCCTGCACACTCCAACCCCTTGTCCTCAGAAGAAAATGTAAAGGTCAAAGAAAAAGCCTGTGTGGTGTAGAAGTCCCCAAGGAAAAATAAACCTAGGATGGTCTCTTACCATTGGCCAACTTAAGCTGTACCTCTGCATACTAAACAAAATATGGAAGGAATTCCTACAGAGATGGGTATATGAACACTACAAGCTTTTCACTTAGTTACAGGAAGATTTAATGATTCCAGTAAAAGAATAACTGCTGAGGTCTCTCATAAAAACTATTCTATTTTTCTGGTTCTTTACAGCAGTGTTTTCCTCTTCCTTTTTTCTTTCTCAGAGCTTGGACACAGTACAGTCCACCTACATTTGTAAACATGATTACTAACAGAAAAACGGAAAAAAAAAAAGATTTCCTCCTTAGCTACTACAAGAATAATAAGAACAATTTTCATTCTACTTCTCTTTCCTTTGCACTTTGTTCTAATTATTCCCTGGTGATACGAAGACTTACCTTTATTAATGCTTAGTCCCACTGGAAGCAATTAATGCTGATAAAAACAGGCACCTTCCAAGAGCTTTAAACAGATTATTGTCTGAAGAGCCCAACAATTCTGTTGTTATCATAGCCAGGTAATAAAGACAGAGGAGGAACATGCCATATAGGACATTAAAATACTTCACCTTCTTGGTCTGCACTGTTCCTTTCCCTCTCATCTTCTGAGGAGCACTGGCCAAAAGATTAGTGCTTCATGAAGAGCAAAGACAGAGACAAAATGGCCCAAATCATGGTAGGACTCAAGTCCAATGTCTCACACCTGCTACAGTGTAATGACAAACAAAAGCCCCCAACCCTGATTTCAGAGCAATTATTCTGACTGAGCACTCAGATAACTGAGCTAGGCTCCTCTTTTTAATGAGTCTTTAAAGATGCCAATCTGACTTCATTAGATCAGACCATTTGGAAATTAAGCATTTACACATATTGTTACAGTATTTCTTTCATGCCAAACAGGCAGGATTTAAATTGACTTCTCTGGTCACGTGCAATGGTCAGAATTAACCAAGTTGTTCAGTCTCTGCAGGATCAGAACCAAAATACTATCTGAAAGGTATTTTTGAACTGAGGATGACATTATTTGACCACATTATCTTAGCTGACACTGAGAAGATGGTAGGATGGCCTCGCACACAATGTGTTCCCAGTGGGAGCTGGGAGGTTTGAGGTAGACCACGTTAACACAGTTTAGTTCTCCCAGTCAGAAGCCTGGCTCAACATAAAAGTGCTCTCTATTCTACTGCAAAAATATGACACAGGCAAACATGCATTTATGAGCAGAACAGTACCTAGTTCATATGTGAAACATTTTCATCTGTTAGCATATAAATGTTAGGAACGATGAGTTAATAATCTGTTAATCCTTGACTACTGTTAGTCACGGGTTTGTTCAAACTGAACTCTAAATTCACTTATTCAGTAACTCCCAACTACATACAATGTTATTTTTATCAAAATCCTGTTACTTACTGATATATTTCACTCAGCTTGTCAAAAACAAGTGGAAATACAAACACCACAGACAGAGGTCTTCCAGTGTAAAGAGGCCAATCTTCCTGCTGAGAAACCTGAAAGAAACAATGAAGTGCATCATTGATTCTCTGTTTATTGGGAAAAGGCACATTTGTAAGTCTTAAGAAGTAAATGCAAATTGCAATCTCTCTTCCATAGCCCTGAAATGGAATTGTGGGAGAGACACTAGAACTATGCTGACAATCTGGTTTTGTGGTTCGCTGAGAGAAAATGGGAGAACAGCTGGAAAGCAATTTCATTAATAATTTCCACCCTGTTTCTCCCTCTTGCAATTCACTTCATTTCAGGTTTTCTTTCCCCATTCCCAAGTCTTCCACACTTTTGTTTTAGCACTTCAAGAAATCTTTCATCTACAGATTTCCCCCTTTTTTGGCCTGTTTCATTTCCCTCCCAACTTCACCTCAGGGGAAATCACTGTTCACAATTAGCTAGATGGCTATAGAGGAGACACACAGAAAAAAATACGTATAATAATTACAAAAATAATTTTTTAACTTTAAGGATTGCAGAACTTTCTTCATTTGAAAATCAATTTCATTGATGGGGATCCTACTTCAAAAAGAAATTGTCTTGTTAATTAATAAAATTTTGCTCAAAAATACCAATCCCCTCAACTGTAAATAAGCATGGGACCACTTGGCTACTTGTCACCAGCTTCCCAAAAAGCATCCTTCTCTTTGCTAAAGTAGTTACTACTCTCGGATATTATTAAACTGCAGAGACTATGGGGCTTTTTAAATATTCTTTCATGTCCAAGATTATTAATGTGTCCTTTTTAGGTGTTATTTTTGTATAGATTAGCTTGTGTTTCCCATCTGAATTCTCAATGAGGATGCAGCTGCAGTGTGACCTCAACCTTTTTTTTCCCCTCTCTTTTTTTAATTTTTAGTACTTAGCAGAGATTTTAAGATAGGAAATAACAGGAAGTTTATTGGGCTTGAAGACAATCCCTAGTGGTACACACTTTAGTTGGGGTGTAGCTGTTAATATGTCTGGGACCTAACTCCCCACAAGTGACAGTCAGCCAGAGAGCCCACTGACTCAAAGCAAAATAATGATGAGGGTAAATGTCCTGGGATCTGTAAAATCACCTGTGATGCTGCAGCTCACCAAACTATACCTAATTTAACAACTTTCTTAAAATGTACAGACTTCTAAACTAGACATCAGGAAGAGCTGAAACAGAAAAATGTGGTGGAGATGGACAAGATGATTGTGAAATAAAATAAACAGGCTTTAAGAGAAAGCAGAAAGCTCAGCTTGTCCTTATACTATTTGCAAATGAACACACTTTCTTATAAGAAATATTATAAATAAATAAATACTATAAATATATACATATTAAGAATAAATATTATAAATAAAGATCTCCACTGACCACATTTTACATGAAATTGGAGAACAGTCAGTTATTTATGATAGAAATGAGTAGATGAAGTGCTTTGCAGAAGCTCACAGAACCCACTGTAACACTTTTGGCTCACTGGACACTCTGAAATAGAACCTGAACACTTCAGAATGAGTTAACCCAGCTTAAGAGTCTTTGAAATTGGCTTTTGTTTGTCACCCATAGGCTCTCATGACTCCTCCTCCTTTTCTGCACACTCTATTATTATTCATGATCTGTCAGCAGCCAAGGAATTCCTCTGGGTTTCAGTGATGAAGTGCTTCATTTGGACTAATTGTTTCATTTACTTTAAAAGAACAAAGAAATATGTCAAAACACATTTACTCTTTTGGGGCCACTTTTGGATATGTGTTGCGAGTTTTTAAGGTTTTTGGAGCCGAAAACTGAAGATTTAACTTCCAAAAATAGTTTTAAGCCAAAGCATCACCCACTATAGATATTAAAGACACATGGTGAGGAGAGCATCAAAGTTCTTGCATTTCTGCTGCTACACAGTTCACCTGAATGCCACCGACTTTCCCAGACTTCCTTGGCACATCACGGAATTCAGGCTCTTCATCCTCTGCTCCCTAAACAAAAAACCAATTTTGTTTCCAGTCCCAAACTTCTGCCCCATTTCTGCTGTCCTGCTGTCCTCCTGTAGCAGCTTGTCCTGTTTCTTTCTCTCCTGCTCCACTCCCAGCTGACCTGTGTGTCACCCTGGTCAATCATTTCTAACTCATCTGCTGGAAAACATTAAACTGTGTGTTCACCTCATTCATCATGGGTTGTAAAAATGTGCTTCAGGTTTGTCCAAAAATATATTTGAAAATCATTATTTTACTGTGTATTTTTTCCTTGGGCTGTTCCTGGACTGGTATCCATTTACACTGCTCTCCAGTCTCCCATCCCAGTGCCTGTGTGCCTAACAAATTAAAACTTTAGTACCAACAGAATGTAATGGACCTTTTTATTATGAGCTTTTATGGCATTATTTCCTTACTGTATCAGTGCTCTAGAAGAATATGAAACTGCCTTTCACAAACCTCTCTGGCTGTATAAAGACCTGAGCTCCAGCTTCTACTGTAAGGAGCAAAGAGGCTTTTGACACTGTAAGATAAATGGGATGGAGCTGTCCAGGCTCTCTCCAGGAACCACAGGGAGATCTTAGATAATTTGCCAACAGCAGGTGAGGCGAGTCCCACACAAGAGCAGCCCTTCCTCACTTCTCATGTGATCAGCTGACACTTGAATACAAACTCCCAGTCTACTCCAAATGTACAGGTGAGCAGAAAGCTAACATTTATAATTAAATGTTAGTCTGATTTCAAGTTTCCAGTTAAATAATGAATTAAAGTTTGTTCTGATTTGCTAATGTATCATTTTCTTTAAGACCTGTTCATGTTTCAAAAGGGACGTATGTATTAATTCTCAACTGTAATATCACATCATTCCATCTGTCCTCCCTTCTACTATTCCATGTTCCCACAGGCAAGGAAATACTCAGCTTTTCACTTCTCTGGCTTTATGATTTCCCCCAGTTTCCTATCCTCAGGTTTACTCAAGGCAGCTCCCTCAGATTAGCCTCCTTTTTCTGACAGAAAACCAAGAAAGAGCCTGAGGCTTTCCTAGTAAAACATATATATCCCCACCTCAAAACCTTGCTGAGCACAGTTCTTTTGCTTTTATTCTTCATTCATGTTACTCTACGAGTTTCAAGGAAGTAGTTTTTGGTGCTCTGGTACATTACAATTTTTGAGCAATTTTTGCTCCAAGTCAACAGGTTTTGTTTCTTTACCAATTCCAGACTATTCCCACCTCTTTAGTTTCTGTCTTTCTAGGCAAAGAGGTAGTTTGTTAGTGCTTTTGTTTTTCTTCTTTTTTTTGTCTTTTGTACAGCCTAACTCTTCACACTCTAGCTTCCTTCACATGGTATTTGCAATGCTTTCATCATTCCCTCCCCTCATTATTTTGTTCCTCCATTGGGAGGGATACATTAACACCAGAAACTTTCCACTCTAGGTAAGAGGGCAACTTTCTCCTTGGAGACACTGTCTGTCCTGTTCAGTTTTACATTTTGCCTTGTTATTGATATTGACAGTGAACACTTGGCTACTTATGGAAATTGGGGACGTAATTCTCACCATAAAACTCACTGCAGTAAACTCAGCCCAGCAAACAAATTGATGTATACAAGGGGAACAATATAAAAGCTATCAGCGGGGCACAGGCTTATTTTATGCAGATGTACAGTTTGCATATTATGGGACTCAACAGCACTCAAGTTTCCAATAAGTCCTTTTTTTTGCTTGACCAATTTTGTTCATTACTTATAGGTCCCTGCAGAATTCAGAGCTGTTATTACAAACATATACATTACAGAAGGAACACAGCCTGACATGCATAGCTGCTTAATAAGGTTTTCATCAGCTGCTTTTACTGACATTTTTCATTTCTCTCATGCCCTGCTTTTAATGTCCCAGTCTTCATTTGATACCATAAAACAAAAGGAGTGGAGTATTGCCCCAGAAAGTGTTCGTGGCTGAATCTAAAAAGAATCACACACTGCACTTGAAGCATGAAGGCTCCACAGGCTTCCTGTTTGCATATGCAATCTACACTGGCAAAGTTATCCTCTTTTCCCTTATCAGATTAACCCCATTAAAAAAGAGCATTGTCAGAGCTTTGATTCATAATTGAAAATAATCCATAATGAGTTTTAAGTGTAACTTTCAAAAGCAAGCCTGCATATTCGTGCAAAGAATTCTGTGCTATTTTCTAAGGACTGCACTTGAGAAACTGCACATCCCTGGTTGATGTTCAGAACCCGCCCACCTCAAAGGACACGAGTCAAAGGAAAGTGTCCTTTTATCACTGAGCAGTCATTGTGAAGTTCTGAATTTTGATTATTTCAGGTAACAGAGTTGGCAGAAAAAAAAAAAAAAGCAGTCCTCTATCCTACCAAGATGTCAATAAAATGTTGTCAATTCAGGTCCATTAGGACCTGAGGCAAGTTTAGTCTGGCTCTAGGACACAGCTCTGACTCACACCAAAAAGCATATTTAGGTGGGACTACACTTAGTGAAGAGTGGTCTGTACCCAAAATCAAACTGTTTATCATGATCCAAATATTTACAGAAAAGTAAAAACCTGCTAATTTTTTCAACTCACGTCAGCAGTAGTGGTGTCTGACCTCTGTCAGCCACCCTTTCCCAGCAGAAAAGAGCCCGATGAAGGTCTAGCACATATTTTTCTGTATGTTTTCTACTTGGCTATGGGGTATAACTCTTCAACATGAGATGCCTCATGATATGAAGAGGAGAAAGACAGTGAAACCTCACACTCTGTGGTCAAAGGAGGCGACCAGAAAGCTTTCCTATTGATGCAAACCTGCATCAATCCACTTCTATTCACCTCAGTGGATTTCCATCAATGCCCATTCTCACTAAGCCTCTCCTCTCCTTAGCTCACAGCTTGGCTTTGTCCTTCTACCTCCAGCAGTTGGGATAGATGAGGGATTCAGATTCCCAACCTCTTTACTTGCATTTGGAATAGGCTACGGCATTCTGGGCAAACGTGGTTTATTTTCTTGATCCCCATAAATATAATATCAGCTGGCACCAGGAAACCTGAGCTGCCTTTGCTCAGATCTGATGCCCAGCATTGCCAGAGGAGGGTTGTGTTGAAGTGTCCTGGACAGCTTTGGAGATGCCAGTGCCAGCACACCTCAAAACCATCTAAAAAGTTGACTGTTGATACAATAACTCTCAAGATGTGTCCAACAACAGCACAAAGAAAAGCTGTGAAGGGCAAAGGGGAAGCTGGAAGAAAAAAAACAAGAGGCTAAAAAGTTTGGAGTTGGTGTTCATTATTATAAATAGTGCCTACTGCAAAATCAGAAATAAGTGTGGCTAGTAAATTATCCATCTTGCAACAATCTAACTAGATTGTCACAAATAGAGAGAATTAAAAAAGGCCCAAATTTCTACTCTGCTGTTCATTTAGTCAGGCAAGAAGCAATTCTGAACCTCAGTTAGATTCCAGATTTTATCCGCCTATAATGGAGCTCTTCAGGTCCAAGTCTTATTAAAATTAAATGGATTTTTTGAGTGTATTTTAAGTCACCTCTGATTGCTTTAAGCTTTGGTGGTATTGTCAGACCAAAAAACCCAACAAACCCAACCTAAAAATAGTCAAGAAGTATATATTAATTACTTTCTTAAAACCTGCAATTTACAGTGACATTTAACCCATCTTTCCAGGGTTGCAATTTGAAAAGTGTGTAATTACATCTGACCAGTGATAATCAGGGAGACAAATAAAATAAGGCACATTTAAGGTGACCTTTCTTAATTGAACTTTGCCTGCAATTAATTATCCGTTCTCTGGATGTATATTATTTACAATCAAGAAACAATTTATAATAATCTTCTATGACTACAACACATTTTTCTAAATGAAAAATGATATCACGGGTTGCTTAGTTTCTTCTGTCCCAACTCAACAGGTGTTTTGAAAAATAATATACAAAATTTCAGCCTGAGGGAAAAGAGGATTCAGTATCAGAGGGTAACAGTCTGCTTTATAGGAATTTTAAAAAAAGTTAACTGAGTTTGATCTTGTGAATGCACACTCTTATTTTAGCAATTAATGGAGCCATTCTAAGTCTCTCCATTGGTTTCAGTGGAAGGCTCCAGCCCTGGGAGCTGCTTGGCTAAATGGAATTTGTTAGCTGTGCAGCATTCCATATTAATTTATACCACCAGGTCTGACAGTCTACCTGGGAGGCAGAAAGGCTGTAATTTAATATTTTAAGGTATATTATGTTCATTAAATGATATGGGTACATTAAGTGAAAGTGGAAGTTAACAGAAATCAATTTTTCTATAATAGAATACAGTGTAAACTAATGAGAACTAAAGGAATGTGAGTCACCACAGTGTAACAAAACATCCTCACATCTACACGTGGCCCTTGGGAATTGTCACCTCATGCTCTGTGTGACAGATTCTACCAACAGTGGGCTTTGTTGTCTGAGGTGACTCACCTGGAATTAGTCAATGCTTCTCAGTGAAGCCAAGGAATGTTAATATTCTAAAGAGCTCAGTGATGCAATAAATCCTCACACTGTGTTTACGGTATTGGCATAATGTTTAATTTTAGTATCTGTAATGGTTTTCCACTTTATGTGTAAGAAAGTGACAGAGAGGTTATCATTGTACCCCAGAACTGTGGATTAAAACCTCTTTTTCCTCCTCTAATCCCAAAGCTAAAATGACTTTGTTTTCTGTATTGATCCACTGATACCTCAAGATAAACAGATATGTATCTTTAAAATATAATGTAAAATATAATTTTAAATTTTATAATATCTGAATATGCTAATGGGCACACCACATAAAAATTACTCCAATGCCACAGAAGTAAATGGAACAACAAAAAGATTCTTATAAACCATATTGCTACTCCTATTGGATCTTAAACATCTGATTTTTTTCATGATGTGTTTATTCTGTACATTCCTTAGAACAGATGATTTCTAACGGCAGCTGAAGGCAGCAAATTCTGTAGAAATTTGCATGCAGTAAATTTACCCAAAAAAACACTGGAAAAGATGCCTGGGCCTAAAAGCTACTGAAACCCAAAGGAACATTTTGATTCCAGTTGCTTTGGATCAGCCCATGAGTGCAAACTACCTTTTGCATTTGTAAATAAGCATTTTAGAATATTAAGTCATAAAATACTCCTGCTTTCTTGTTCATTACAGTATCATCTTCCTTACATTATTCCCTTTCCAAATTATATATATATATACACAGACACACACATATATATATACATTTCCACAAGAAGAACTTAATATATTGAGACATCACAGCTTTCCTGTTATCCTTCATACTCTCCCCTATTTTGCTGTTGCCTCCACTTCTGGCCATTTTTAAGAGAATGTAACCCAACTGCACCTCTTGCTAACACCAGATCTTTGGAAATGCATTTTAATGACTCTGAAATTCCTGACTCCTCTCACCTGTGACTGAGATTCAGAGTTTCCAAAGGCAGACCCATGTTCTCACATCAGAAACAGAGATTACTCCCTGAACATACTCAGGCTCCGTGCATCCAACACAAACATTTAGCAGTCCCATGGGAATTGTGCTCTACCTTACAACTATGAAATGGGTTTTTCTACAATGCCAGTGGGAACTCGCATTTTTAACACCTGTGTGCTCCAGTGGTCCTGGAGAAGAAAATGTCCAGATATGAGGAATAAGCACTATTAATAGATATTCTCTAATTATAATTTCCACGATACCTGAAGTAATACATCTTAATGTGGCTTCAAAACCACATGCCAAGGGAAGCATTTAAATTCCACCTGTACTTGGATGTACAATCCACATGACTGAATGCACAGAACAGGAGAGCACCAATGAAAAACTATTGAACACCTCACTAACCCCTTACATGCATAATCATTTCCTTCATAGTAACCATGATGCAAATTTAAGCCTGAGAGAGAGCCATTCCAACACAAGCTTTCAATTCCCTGCATATAGGATCTTGAGATCCTCTTGACCTTCACAAGCAATTTTACTAAGCAGTGAGAATTTTCAGAACTTTTTTTCCTCAAAATAAAACCTGAATAACAGAAACAAGAGTCAGTAAAACACCTCAACTAATGCCTAAACATTACAGAAGTATTACCTTTTTCCCTGGTTGGGTTTTTTTTTTATTTGAAAAGACTCACGTCAAGTAAAATCCCTTCTTTTCAGTCTGGAGTAGAATAAGAAGTTATTACTCCCTAACAACTAGGAAGCCTATCCAATTAAGGAGGCCTCTGTGGGACATGCCAGGGTTTCCGTGCTGGCTGTCGTGGAGGGCAGTGATGCTGATGGAATGTGAGCACAGGTCACATTTGCCTTCCCAAACCTCGTCCCGAATGGAAACAAAAACCAGCTGTGACCAGCAGAAGTCTGATTAATTGAGAGTGGCATCCTGAGCCCGGTGCTGGTGACCCAATGACTGGGAATTGCCCGGGGAGGTTTGAAGCCTCGTGTCCTTCCCAGGGCAGCAGCCACAGATACAACAAAACTGCCTGGTTCGATCCCATTAGCCCACTGCTGTTTACAAATGTCGGGATCACACAGGGCCTGCCCGTGGCTTGGCACAGGCAGACACGATCAGCCCTGGCACTGGAGGCTGCTGACAGACTGCCAGCCCCTGGTGCAGATGGTGGCAGCACGAGAGCGCTAATTACCCATGACATTAATGATGAGCTAACCTGTCTCTCTTCAGCTAATAAACAGACGGAATGTGTTCCCTACTAACTTTTTCTTTCCCAGATAACAAATTGTTCGGTTTTAATGGTAGAGAGCGACAAAACCAAATTATCTGTTCTTTGGAGAAATTTGTTTTCCGCTAATTGCTCTAAACAATCAATAAAAGAATTACAACTGGCATCACCCACTGAGAAGAGAAGCAGGGAAGTCAAAGTCAATTAGCTTCCTGGAGGATGATGCACTCACACGGAAAGAGTCATTACAACAGGGTGTAGAAGTCAAACTGCAAAGTGTGCAGCTCCAGGAACAAAGCAGACTTGGATGGAAAGTCTAACAGAGGGTTTTCACATACCTGCCTGTTCTCCATATAGCACTGCAGTTCCCAGTTTTCCTTTAGATGCTTCCAAAAACTGATGGAAGACAGGATCCTTGGATCTTAGGAGCGCACTAAGCCTTTGGAAGTCATGACTGAGAAACATCTCATCTACAGAACAAAAAAGAACAATCAATTCAGTTTTGTGTCATTTGTATCATAGTGCAAATGCGATAAATATAGAAAAGCTGAGGACTCCATGGTGGCTACCGAAATATTATCCAAGTGGGCAAAAGAGCTGCCATAACTGACTTCCCAGCCTTTTCTTCACTATTCCCAATGAATTTCCCCCACCATGGGTTTCTGCTACAACAATATACACAAATACATACATATAGATATATAAATACACACATATAAATACAAACTGACTATTCAGGTTGAATAGTTTAACTAACAGCAATTGGATCAAATCAGTAGCCATTTAAGAAGGACAAGTCACCTCACCTAGAGGTATTTGAAAGACGTGTAGAAGTGGCACTGAGGGATATGGTTTAGTGGTAGACTTGGCAGTGTTTGATTTACAGGTGGCCTCAGTGATGTCAAACAGGGTCTTTTCCAACTTAAATAATTCTATAATTCTATGAGCATCCACATCAGAAAAAAAAATCAAGCACATAAAATAGACCTATCCTGTTGGAATAACTTCTCACTGCTGTTTTATCTCATTTTCCTCAAGTGCATGGAGCTTTAGATTTACTTTTATTGTTTTAACCATTATTCATGGATTGTTACTTCTAGTGCATTCAATTAAGAAATTACCATTCTAACACACTTTGTGTTGGTCATAACTCACTCTGTGCATCGGAAGAGTCAAGTCCCCATTATTTCACATCAATTCCTTGCACCCCACAGTGAAAAAAGCTCAGTATCACGTATTTTGCCCTTGAAAACTGAAATCATAGAGGTCTACCCGAAACCCTGACTGATTTAACTTCTCTCCTGGGCTGAGTTCCTGACTCTTCTAGTAAGGACTGACACTGGCACGAGTTCCTTGAACGACAGTGCTTCCCTCCCCCAGACCTTTCCATCAGGACACTTTCCTGGGCAGGTTTATTTTTCTACAGCAACGTCTCTAATTTTATACAGGGTAAAAACTGCTGGCCACCCAAGGTCTTAACACACTGAGCAATGTTTTCAGTGCTGATGCAATGCAGTATTTGAAAACACATTATCTCCCCACTTTATGCAGTTGCACACAAAGGAGTCCACTGAGTGTTTCATGCCAGCACGCTTGCTTGCAAAGGCATCCAAAACTTCTTTTACAGGCCACCTACTTTTCCATGAGTTATCAGAAACAACACAGGCAGCCTATTTAGGGGGGAATCACAATGACTGGCTGTTCTGGGCTGGGAAAGGTTTCCATCCATCCTCACAGTTCTCTTTATGCAGAGCTTGTAAATAACAACAGGCACAAGCCCTACAGCCACTAATTTAGCACCACATTGTGACTCCCTCTGTTTCTTTCCATTTGCCTCAAGCAAAGTCAAGTTCTAGTGACCTTTTTTAGCCAATATACACAAAACTGGCTGCTGTGACCTCGGTGCTGCTTTGTACAAAGCGTTAAGTAAGTACCTTGCACAAAGCAAATAGTACAGTCTGACCATGAAATTCCTGTGACTTGGGCTTATGTTGGTTTGTCTACACACTGACGAATAATTGAGTTTCGTTGAAAGGGAAAACAAACATTTTGTTTCATTTTGTTGCAAGACATTACTAATCCAGAGGCTATTCTGCTGCAAAGCAGTAAAAGGAAAAGGAATGAAAAAATTATCATATTAAACAGTTCTCAGTTTTTCTTCCTTCACCAAGATTCTGGTGAAATGAAGACAACATCCCTCCATGGCCATATGGATAACAAGTCAGTTCAGCCACCTGTATAACATGCTCCATTTTCCTCTGCAGAAGAGAGCATGTTGTGTTTAGAGCAGAAACTCGATACAGGAGGAAACATCTCTCTCATAAAGACTCTTGTTTACAAAGCCACAGACAAAATTTTCGAGATTGCTCTGGATGCCTTGCTTACTTTTCCAGCAGAGATGTTTTCTTCCTGTGCTAACACAAGGCAGATTTCCACTGAATGCCAGCTGAGTGCTAACATTTGCTCTTTACAACATATCCCGCTACAGATGAGACCAAATTCTGCATTCCTGCTCATTTTGGCAACTCCTGTATAAGTAACAGTTGCACTGTGCCATTCTGAATCACAAGTTTTGCTTATAATCTGTAGCATATATTTAATTTCCTTAATGCTGGAATCCTCATATTTAATCTACACATACCCAGGGTGGGTATCTCACCAAACCTAAGTCAGCCCTCACCGTGCAGCTTTAGTTCTTCCCTCACACACAAGAGGTGTTTACACAAATGAAAGGCAATCTTTTATCATACTTTTTGGGGTCACCTGAAATGCAAAGTGCAAAACTGAATTCCTCCCCACAGCAAACCAGTTAATTCCTCTTCCTGCACTCTGCTGCACTTCCCCATGCACACAACGTGGTAATTGCTTTTGCTTGACTTGTTCCAACAGCCATTTTCCTGATGTGACAGCCAGGGCACTAATATATTTATGCCCTTTGTAATCGGCCAGCGCTGCTTGTAATTAGGTGCAAAGTTAATTAAGTGCAATACATCTAATAACTGCCTGCCAGGAACTGTAAAGTTTGATTTAGCACATGAACTGTCAAGGTGTCAGAATGGTGTGTTAAAAAAGAAGTTGCTAACAGAAAAACAATCCTGCCACAAGCCAGGGAAAAGCACCGTGACAGGGAGTGAGCTGAGGAAAAGGAAAACTGAGCCAATACTTGCTATTTCCAACACTGGGAATGACCCACCTGTATGTTGGGAAGTTGTATCTTGCTTAATTGAACAACAAATTAAGGTATTCTTTTATTTATTAGCCAGTGTCTTCTCCTATAGACAACCCTTCTCTTCAAAAAGCATACAGATGGTACAGAGTCTTTTTAAGCCCTGTAAATGTCAGTAAGAGAACAGATTTGATTTTTAAAAAAATTAATGCATAAACAGGATTACAAAAAGAACCAAGAGGGCCCGGAGAGTCACATTTCATGTTTAGGGACCTGGTTTTGTTTGTTTCTTTTATTGCACAAATTACAGCTTTTCTTCTACTGAACCTAAGAGAATATTCCATATTCTTCTTCCTTGAATTCAACTTTGATTGGCTCAAATGTTCCCTTCACCTCCACCCCTGTATGGTATGAACTGCAAAATGATCTTTTCCTCATTCTAGGCAGTCAGGGCAGGTGAAGAAAAAAAGCACAGCTGGTCAGTAGGGGAAAAAAAAAACCCAAACAACAACCAAGTGACCTGAATTCTACACCCAGAATAATGCAGGACTAGCTGAACATCAGATTCGGAGTTGCAGGGAGCACAACTGATGAGCTGCACATGTACCACAGCAGCACAAGACACGTGCACAGCTCAATAACACTTTGATTATTAACACACACACAGATGTATGAAGCTCAGAAAATTACACCTGTAAGATATCAAGAGGGAAAGCACGGGCAAGGCTCTGAAGCTTTTTTAGGCCAGCAGATGCAAATAAAGTGCTGGAATTTGTCCACATATAGGATAACTCACAGACCTTCAGCAACAACCTACGTTCAAGGGCAACACTGCTGCCTCCAAAGAGATCACCAGCAAAGCTTTCCTCTCAAAATACGTCCCCAAAATCCCTGTCAGATAAGCCAATCTTTGTGGTTCATCATTAGGAACTGATATTTGATCAGGGAAATTATGCTCTAGATTGACATGAAATTAATAATGCCTGTTGTGTGGTGCCCAATGACAAAGGTAAATGCTAATAGCTCTGAAATCCTAATGAATGCCAAAGTGCTCTTCCCAGCTTTGATTAGTGCTTGTGTTGTGCAATTATGCTTTTCTATAATTACTGTGAATTACCATCATGATATTATTATTCTCATATTTTCTATTCCTCTGAAATTCTCAAAATTTCCTGCAGCTAAAAATGGATTTCATTTGCATTATCACAAGCTTTGATTGTTTAATGAAAAATAATTCCATGCAGTCTCTCGTGTTAAATTGTCCATTTAAAATTTTCCTGTTATCTAGATTATGTTGAAGTGTCCCTTCTTTCATTTATCATTTGCCTCTATTATCACAGTCACTGCCCTCCCTTGGTGCTGGATTTCAGAGAGAAGGGAAAAATGAGAGACAATTTTACCCATATCCTCATCTTTTGCCTGGAAGCCCTTTCCCTGCATGTTCTCCCTTTTCCTTGAAATTCCTTATTTGGAAAGCTTAAAAGTGACAGGACTTTTCAGGAAAATGTGGTAGCTACTTCAAAATTTAGTGGGAGTCAATTAACTTTTTCTTGGTTTACATTGAAAGTTTTCATTTCTTTTGCAACAAAAATGAAAAAAATCTTTTGACATTTGCACAATTTTGACAGTCTTAAGGTCTGATTTTTATGTTTTTCAGTCTAGGTCAAGTTTACCATCACTTTGCTGCCTCTAAATTAAAAGCATCCATTGCAGTATTTCTACTAAAAGAGTAATTCAGTTATTTTTCAAAATAGATATTTTGAACTATTTTGTGATGTATTCAAAAATACTGGTCTAGAAGACAGTCTAGATATCCAAATTTATATTACATATTTCACTACGTACACAAATAATAGTATTTTGTTATTTCTGCCTCCCTTATTTCTTTCCAATCTTTTTCAACTGCTTCCATTTTCACCTCATATATGCAGCTGATTTTTCTCTCACATACACACAATTCTCCTTTGCAAAGTGTTAATATAACACGTGTGGTCACAATTTCACACTTGTAATATTCAAATAGCTTCAAAGTTAGTCAGAATAAGTTTGACCATGTCCATATGTACACTTAAGGAGATGAAAGCCTGGATCAGATGAAGGAAAACAACCTTTTTTTAAAAAAATAAATCTTATAAAAGGTTATTTATCCCTTAATGATTTTTTTTTTTCATTTTCCTCATGGATAATAACAAATGGAAATACTTCATCTGTAACTTCATCGTGATGTGGGGAAAATTGAGCCCACATTGAACATCTGTAGATTGTGTCTTTCAAAGCAGATTCCATCACTTAAGCTAAAGAATC